CTTTCAGTGTTACGATTCTTCATTGGTGTTATATTGGTGCATTTCTGCTTTCTGGACACTCTGACTCTATCTGGCCTTCGATGTGATTGTGCATTCTGGATATTGTCATCTCGCTGTTGCTCATTTTCCTTGAAAGTTCGGTAGGTCTCCTAATCCCCAGAATTCGAAATGTGATTGTGCATTCTGGATACTATCTGGCCTTCAATGTGATTGTGCATTCTGGATATCGTCATCTCACCTTCGCTGTTGCTTCGTCTTGCTTCTGGCGTTGTTCCTCCACAAGACGACATTGTTTCTCTGCCTCCTCCTCCTCTTTCTTCCGTGCGGCTGTTGCCGTGTCTGCCCGCTGCTTAATTTCTGCCTTCAAGGTCAGCATCCGGGCCTCGCAGGCCTCGGTTGTTTCCCCTTGCTTCTGCTCCATGTCGCCTGTGATCGGGTGAGCATGGGCATATGCCGCGTGACTGCTGATGTGGCACTGACTCCTGCTGACATGGCACGGCTGTCGGCTGACGTGTCACTGACATGTCACTGCTCACATGGCCTGCTCACATGGCCTGCTGACGTGGCAACTCGTCAATGCCGCAGCAGTGAGAAGCCGAAGACAGGTGGGGGAAGAGAGAAGGGTTGACATGGCCTGCTGACATGGCCTGCTGACGTAGCAACTCATCAATGCCGCAGCAGTGAGAAGCAAAAGACAGTTGGGGGAAGAGAGAAGGGTTGAAGATAGACAAAGCAGCATAGATGGGGAGGGTGGAAGGTTGGAAAGTGGGAGTCATAAAACACTAACATTTTACCTACCCCCATGGGGTCACACACATCACCCAGATAAGGAGCCACTAATCAAATTGAAAAGTTCGAACTTTGCGTAAAGAATGATCATTTCGAAAAGAAGAAAAGAAAGAAAGAAATCGAAATTGCAAGTTCGGTAGGTCTCCTTTTCCACTCCCATCACGGCATCAGAGATAGTAATGAAAAGATGGCAAAAGGAAGAAATCTCACTAGCCAACGCGATCTTCAAACCCTCTTGTCATTCAATCTTCTGCACGAAGCCAGTCAAATTGGCCAGCCTACTCTGGCTCATTACCTACAGAGCAGTCCCGGTGAACCACTGGCTAGCATGAAGACGAAAGAAGGAAGGCAGACCAGATCAAGACTCATGGTGCAAAGTCTGCAACACAGAAGCTATGGAAACACTCAACCATTGCTTCTTAGAATGCGAAAAGGCCCAAGCCCTATGGAATGAGGTAGCACAGGCATGGTCCAAACACTCTAACAAAACACTACAAATTAAACCGAGCACTCTTTACTTAGACATAGAGCAAACCCCGCAGTTCAAAGGTTTCGAACTTTCGACCTATTCTTTTCTTCTTTTTTTTTTCTTTTTTTTTTTCTTTTTTTTCCACAAAACAGGGCCTTATGGTCCTGGCTCCTTCTATTCTGGGGAGCGTCAGTCCGGTTCCTATTCCACCGGCAAGTCAAAACATACATTACATTGAAGAATCACGCACGCTTCCTTCCGTCTGGCCGAAGGACCCCTGAGCAGCATGATTGCTCCACCTTGGTGGAGGATTGACTGTCAGCTTGCCGTGCTGCACTCTTTCCTCTCAGACCTGGAACCCAGATCTGTCAGATAAATCTATTCCTTCTAGGAAGAGGTCCCCCTTTGTCAAGTTAGCGGGTGAACACCCATTTATCCATCCTGCTCCTGTGCCACAGCCTCCCCTGTCCCTTCTTACCTGTCCTCCCCTTTTCTGCTTGTCACTAAAACCCTAGACCCTAAAACCCTCGTTCGTTAGCCATCACCAGCACCCTTTGGATTTTTTGGCAACTCTTTCGCTGTAGCCTTGGGCGACCTATTCTTCTTCTCACTAATCAGAAAAGCCTTTCTGTGGGCGATCTGGAAAAGGAGATGCGACCTGACTTTCGATAATCACCCTACTAATCACGAAAACCCCCTCATAACTATCAAGCAACTAATAGAAACTGAACTCCACGCCCTCTGGAAAAAAAACTCAGAACCAAATACAAAACGGTGGATCAGCAAGTATAAAAGCCCAGCAGCACCTGGATGTCAACACAACATGCTTTGCACTCAATGTGGAAGCGCTGCTGCGGTCTTGTGCACCCGAGAGGCGACTGGGCCGGAGAACGAGCGTAGAACGGTGCAGTCAATGGTGCTGGGCGCCATAGCCATAGCTTTAGCATGAGAGAGAGAGAGAGAGAGAGAGAGAGAGAGAGAGAGAGAGAGAGAGAGAGAGAGAGAGAGAGAGAGAGNGAGAGAGAGAGAGAGAGAGAGAGAGAGAGAGAGAGAGAGAGAGAGAGAGAGAGAGAGAGAGAGACTTCAAAGGGAGGAGTGGGGCCTGTGAGAGTGAGAGTGAGAGCAGCGAGACAGAGGGAAAGGAAGAAGAGAGAGACGTACCTGCATGTTGAGTTGAACGTCCGAAGACAACCAAGTCTGTGTTGACTATCCAGGCTCTCTTGGACCTTGAATGTCTCACGTGAGTGTGGTGTGGTGTCCGAATGTTTCATGCATGGTTGTCTCATTGCAACTCCACTTCCTCAAGCACAATATCAATCCTTTTGGAAATCTATACGAAACCACAATCTTGCTGGTATGGCGGCTAACCAAGCCCAACACGTGTCCTAATTCAAGATTGTGACTGGCTCTGACACCAAATTTAAGCGATTGCTCGATTTCACTTCAAACCATCCATCATCATCATCAACCACCACACCTGATAAAGACTGAGAGACACATATTATGATTCCGGTTGTTTGTTGTCTGATGACCAACACTCACTCACATAGACTTCCAGGTATGCCCATACATACACAGAAGGAAGGGGAGAGGATAGGAGTATCACACCGCACAGGGAGAGATAAACACAGCGGAAGACTTGACCATGCGATATGACAGGGTACACTGAAAGTGCAATTCACTCCACTCAATCCTCACAACAAGTCATAGAGAACAGCCGAGCAGATCACATCCAGGAAACAATGAAASGATGATAGTCCAAACACAGTTATACACTGTTTATTAAACTCAGAGTCTCGAATTGTCAGGATAACTTCAGAACAACAGTGCGCTGCTCAGAAATGAGAAGCGCTTCACTCCCCAACCCTGAGTAACCACCTGTAACACCCCTGAGCCCCTGAAACATCAAGCGCCACCCTGATACAGCCTCCTGAGGGAAGCGCCACCCTGAAACAGGCCTTGAGGCCAAGCGCCACTCAGAGGATGAAGAAGAAGACCAGCGCCACAGTATCTGATGATGACGAAGTGTCGGAAGACTTCACGGGTGGAAGTCTGCAGAAGCGCCACCAAACCCTGACAAGATGACCTCTGAGGAAGAAAGCTGCAGCTATGGCTGCAGCGCCAACACCGCTCCGAAGGAGGGTCCAGCAGGGCACTAATCTCTTTCGCCTCCAGCAGACCTCGGTAACCCAGACCTCTGTCAGCCCCTGCGTGCTGGCAGAGTACAGCGCAGGTCCCAGCTATGTCCGGCGCTCCGAAGGACTGGCTATGCCTGTCTCCTTCCACGCTGAGCCGTCACCACTTCCGGTTCACGCGTAGCACAGCAGTGATGTACTCGGTACCAACTGCCAAAAGCTCTGAACCGATGTGCCTATCCTATCTATACTACACTAGCCTAGACTCGACCTAGACCGGACTGACTGACCGACCGGTACCGTTTCTGTTTCGGCCTCTACCAGACCCGGCTATAGGCTATAGGACCATCTATCAGAATAGGCCCTTAGGGCCTGTCTGTCCTAGGGGTAGCCCGGGCCTGCTATTCGCAGTTAGGGTAGCTGTAGGGAATCCGGTTAGTACCGGGCCTGTATTTTCCCGGATTTGCAGATATGTCCCTCACGAATTGCCATCACAGGTAGGTTTCTCGGTTAGTCCTCAGCCAAACAAAATTGTGAATCTGTCCTACCTATAGTACAGCCTCGACAGAGAGAGGCTACAGGCAACCAGAAAACAGCAAGTCATTGCACACACTTGACTGGAACTTCACACAGTAGAACTTCACCAAAAAAAAGGTGGTGTTCACCTGGGCGCCTCCCTACCTGAGTACTATACAACAAACGGGACTGAACATGACACTCCGAGCAGCCAACTCTCTGGGGGTATGGCAGAACCGAATCTCCCTGCAAACTAGGGCTAAATTTAGCACACTGGTCGATTTCTGTACCCAAGCAACTCGACAAATGGAAACTGAGTGAAAATTGTTTGATGATCATCACTTTTATCGGGGTACTACTTTTCAAAATGCCCAGTTCGAAAGGCCCTTGTTCTTTGCTACACCAATAGAGGACTCCACATTCAGGTCCTCACCAGATTCAAGAGGGCAAAGAAAGGCAACCCGACCCGGACAGAGCGGACACAGCAGGATGTGCGGCTGGACCGGCGGATGTAAAAATTGGGACGTCCAGGAAAGAAAAAAGAAATGTCACAGAACACAAACAGGGGATGGATTGGGCCATACCTACCTCAAGGCCGTATCCAATCCCCCCCTCTCTCTCTCTCTCTCTCTCTCTCTCTCTCTCTCTCTCTCTCTCTCTGTGTGTGTGTGTGTGTGTGTGTGTGTGTCTGTCTGTCTGCCTCTCTCTCATACAAAACATGAGAATCGGTCTCAGCCCCACCCTCTTTGGCTAACTGCAAGTGCCAGAAAAAGGTTAAAAAAGGCCAAAACATTGTTTCGGGGGGTAGGCCTTGAACCACCCCCGGAAAAAAGAGAATATATTCCCCTTCCAGATGTACCGGACCGGACATCCAGAAACGGATGGTCTGGACAGCGATTCGGATGTCCAGATTGTAACCATGCAAATAACTCTAAAACAGTGCACAGTTGGGGCAGGTTGCCGCCCCCCGCCAATATGTAGCAGCAAATAGAGATGAAAGCCTCGGATAGCGACAGTCCACACCAAAAAAGGAGAGGAGGAATCATTTGACCAAGAACAATAGGATGAAATTGCAGAAGCAATCTGCCTACCTTATAAGGAGTAGGATTCAGACTGCGCTTGTGATCTGGTCGGAGGGCTGCTAGTTGGCTCTTACAGTGACTCCTTAGCTCATCCAGTGAAGGAAGGGGCTCCACAGTTGTTCCTGACAGTCAAATACAAACACGGGCGTTCGAAGACGTGATCAGATTTTTCCCTGCTCGACAAATTGTCCTCACCTGTTCTGTGATAGTACACTTCGTCACATCAACCAACCGCCTAACGTGGCACGTAAATCAAACCTGTGTACACTCTCCAGAACTTGACACCTGCAACACCTGCATTCGTAACCCAAATCTGGTAATCCAAGGGCAAATCATTAAGCAGCACTCATAACCAACAAGTTAGCCTTATGTAATGACCCGTCAATACACTGACTGAAACATACAGTCGATTTCTGATTTCTGCTCATAGGATGCATGCCGTACTAAGTTCCCTGCCTGTCGATGTGTTTGCTGGGTCTGAGTGCGTGCTTGTTTGTGGGTTRCATGACTGTGTGTGGCCTGCATGTTGTCGGAGTGCCTTGAGTGTGTGTGTGACCTGTATGGGTCTGTGATGGCTGGGCAGGCCGTGGGAGGGCCGGTACTTACCTGTGGCATGGCGTTTGAGAGCTGCAGCCGGGGATACACTCAAGTGGTGTCGATAGCAGCCCCGCAACCCTTG